TGCATAATTTGTGGCAAAATGCAATAACATTGTGTCATGTCATGCCATTGCAATATCCCATTTCATTCGTTTATTCAAACAGTATTCATCACCATTAAATTGAGGTTGAGCTTCACTTACAAGGGCAGACACTCATATTTTAGTGCAGGTTAGACTGGACACAAACATGGGCATGCAAGACTGAACCAATTAAAATGTGTTTTCTTTAAATATATATAAAAAAAAATACTATTATTGAACTTTGAATGCTCTTTGTATTTATTGTGTATTTCAAAAAGTAATTTAATATAAAGCTTGTTGAGCCCACAATCCATCTGCCACTGTTTGGCATATACCTACAATTCATGTTGTGCAGTGAATTATCAGGGTTGTTTTTCATTCAGGGTTTAGTCACCTTGCTGTACTTATCACGCAAATACTTTTCATAGTAACTAAATCTTGTTTTGCTCAAGATGTCTTTCCAGAGTGATTGGTTTAATGAGGGTGAGATGGTGCATATGAAACATTAGCTAGCAAGCATCCAACAGAAAATGGAATTGTCTCTGCAAAGAAATGAAATATGATAGATGTATAGGGTGCTTGAGAACAGCTGTCATATGCATCTAATGTCAATATAAATACATTCTGGTTGTCCTTCATGTCTCCTTTCATAATGGTGCAGCTTTTTTGTCTCCTCAGTACCTCAATAATAGTTTATGGAAATGGGCTTTGCAATGCCAATATCTATAACGCAATGTGGCCGATGGCTGATTTAATGGGGCTCAAAGTCCAAAATATGTTTTTTGAAATCTGAAATTTGGGGCATTGTAAGCCTGTATTGGACAGGACAGCTGAGTAGAGATAGCAAGCGAATGGAGAGGGGAACAGGATCAGGAAAGGACCTCAAGCCAAGGCTCGAACTGAGGTGCTACGTGATATGTCAGAGCACTGCCCACAAGGAATTCGATTTTTTAATTAATGAAACGTTTATGAAATAAAATGAATAAGAAAAATTTAGCTACGTTTCTGCACTATTTCTAGGTTACGAATCAAATAAGTGCATTTGTGCATGAGAACAACATTAAAGTCTGTATTTAAAAAAACAACAACAACAAAACTGGTCCCTCAAGTTATACTTATAATGATTTGTTAAAAATAGCAAAATGGTAATAAAGGCCCTCTAGGCCCCATATATGTATGTTATGTATAAATATTATTTAAAGTATCAATAAACCGGGCTATTATTACATCCATGCTCAAGTTCAGACTCTTAATTGACTATGCAGGAATGGGAATTGGACTATGCAGATAATCTCAAATTGGTAAAATATCAACCGGTTAGTTAGCCTGGCAAATAGATTGTTCTTTTATTACAGCCCAGACACAAAAAAGGCAGTCACATTGCTATTTTTTGTAAGCACTCTTACAAATCGATATAGAGCCTAATTTTTTAGACATCTCTTTACTTTTCCGTTTCTTTCAAGTCCAATCTAACAGGAACCATGGGCGGTTCTTTGCAGGCATTTCCAGCTTTTGTCCAATAGCTTGATCTGAAGTCAAATTCTGGCCCTTGGAGAAATAGATTTCTTTGTTGGAGCAATCGTGAGACAGGCCACTGATGGCGTATTTAGTGCTGAAAAAGACCACACCGTGCACGTAATGATAAAATGCATTAGTTATCTAGCATCATTTCAACTGGCTTGACATTGTTGTCGGGTAAAAATCACACTGAATTGATTTACAGCTTCCTGTTTTGGGTTTGTTTGGCACATTGTGTAATTTATAAGCACACATTGTATAATGTCTTTGAAAGGTAGTTCACAGAAGACTTTATTTGACCAAACCAAAAGTCATACTGTGTTTGTTCCGTAAACTTGTTCAAGTTTAGAAAAGAATGTCAACAAGCAAGTTTTGAGCTATATCTTTGCACAAGATAAAAATAGGCTCAGTCGGCACTGCCAGCGGCATTTAGACAGAGGAGACTGCTGTGTTGAATCAATGTGTTTTTTATGCAGCCTCTTTTTTTGTTGACATAGCCAGAGTGGGCCGTGTGCTAATCCAGCAACAGGAAGTTATGAGTGCCACCACCCTCTTCCTCTGACACATAAAAATACACACGGTGCTTTCTCACTTTCACTTAGCCTGTGATTCTCACTCAATGCTTTAAACAGTTTGTGTACATAGCCTAGATCTTAAGACCTTTCTCATGTTTCTGTGGTCCGACTTCAGTGAGTAAGACGAGAACTGGTCTCGGGTCAGTGTCTTACTCTGGAGCACTGCCACTACTGAAGGACATGCGAGTGTCACCACAACATTACCTTTACTGAGGCCATGCTGGATTCACACACACATTCACACACTGACTCAAACACTCCCTCACTCATTTACTCATACTGCAGTGGCCTGCCAACATTTCCATCAGCAGAATTAAGGGTATGACCAAATGTATGAGGCAGTATGAGTCATTTTATATTGTGATATTTACACTACCGGTCAAAAGTTTTGGGTCAGTACGATTAAAAAAAAAAAATGAAATGTATATTTTTATTCAGAATGTATTAAGTTGATCAAAAGTGACAGTAAAAAGCATTTATAATGTGATAAATGGTTTCTATTTCATATAAATGTTGTTCTTTTGTACTTTCTATTCGTCAGAGAATCTTGAAAAAACTATGTTTTTAATATTGATAATAATATAAGAAATATTTCTCGAGCACCAAATCAGCATATTAGAATGATTTCTGAAGAATCACATGACACTGAAGACTGGAGTAAGAGCTGCTGAAAATGTAGCTTTGCCATCATAGGAATAAATTGGCAATTTAAACTATAATAAAATCAAAAAAGCTTTAAAATTGTAATAGCATTTCACAATATTACAGTTTTTACTGTATTTTTCATCAAATAAATGCAGCCTTGGTGAACATAACATTTTTAAAATGTAACCGACCACAAATGATTAAATAGTAGAGTATATGAATTTATTTATTTTTGCACAACGGACATACCGTGATATTACCAGTATAGCAGAATCAGTACCTTTTTTCTACTTTTTTTCTTTCCATTGCACAACATATACCATCATACTGCAAAGATTGTGAGATAAGCATCTAGAACTCTGAATAAACATTATACATGGTGCTTTTCCCGAACTGTTGACGTAATGTCAGCATTGAACCATTCAACCCTCCATTGTTCACAGCCCCCTCACACCCTTATCCTCCAACTGGATTTTTTTTCTCCTCCTCAGGGAATGTTTCATTTTTCTCCATCTATGACTCATGGATGGCCCTCGGTTTGTTGGCAGGATGGCTCGTAGCCATCTAATATCGGCGCATGAGCGGTGAGGCAGGAACAGGGCCCTTTATCTCTCACCCGAGCATCTGATTACAGCCATCTTCAGGGAAATGTGTCAGACACCGAGCGAGCTCTGGACCACAGGATGACGTAGAAACACCTCCCCCTCGATTTATCGCTCTCCCCTTCTGCATGTGGGTGTCGACATAAGAATGCATGGGAATGATTCCAAGAACTCCCTCAGAATGACAAATTATAACAGCACTAAGCAAAATGAACAAAGCGTTAAAGGGTTCATGTTTTACACGTGTACCATTTTATGTGGTGATAGTCAATATTTCTTGTCGTAAGTTAGTTTTTCAAGACTATTTTCATCCATATCTTTGACCCTAAGAATTAAACCGTCTGTTTTTGCTACTGCACCTTTAAGAAAACCTTGCCAGAGCGTTAGCCAAAGTACAGAGAAAGTTTCCTGTTAGCTGGGAAGTGGTCCCTTTAAGTGCATTCAGAAAAGATAGATGGATAATGCCAAACGTCAAACCCCAGATGACTCACTCATGAGGAATGTAAATATGAAGCGTACAAGATTCATTCATCATTCACTATCCATGCTGAAATATTCGCTGCTGAGTAGGAGTAATCTGTCACTGATTATGTGCAGTTCTTAGTTAAAATTCAAAATATTGGGAAGGACATTATTTGCATACTTCTAAAAGCATTCTTATTAGTGAAGTTTTTTTTTTACTTGTCATATTGCTGTTGGCTGTAGCACATGTAGGCTGCTGTTTGCTCCATGCGGCCTGTTTTATAGTATTATTCTCAGGCACTTGTGTTGTCCATGCCTCCCTGCTGTTGTCCTCCAATTAAACGTTTCCTTTAGCAGGCCACCTGCCATTACTCATCAGCAGGAGGTGAGGGATTTCAGCTCTTGAGAGCGGAAATTGTAAAGGGCTCTGAGTAAATGATTGATGAAGTCAATCCTGACACAGACAGAAGACCGTAGCTGTGATTGTGTCTGAAAGAGCGATAGTGTGTAACGTTAAACGTATGTTGATGAAGAGGATAGGAGGAGGGCGTCGTTCTCACCTCTCTTCTGGCCACTCACTTTCATTCGTATACTCTTTGTTATCCTCTTCTCTCTTCATTGTACAGGCATTGTACACTACCATTTAAAAGTTTGGGGTCAGTTTTTTTTGTTTTTGTTGAAGAAAATATTCAGCAAGGACGCATTAGATTGATCAAAAGTGGAAGTTTAGACATTTATTTATTTTTTGTAAAATTATAAATTTTATTCAGTGAATCTTGATTAAAAAGTATCATATTTCCACAAAAAAAAACATTAGGCAGCACAACTGTTTTAAACATTAATAATAAGAAGAAATGTTTCTTGAGCACCAAATCAGCATCTTAGAATGATTTCTGAAGGATCATGTGACACTTAAGACTAAAGTTATTTCTGCTGAAAATTCAGCTTTGCCGTGCCAGAAATAAATGACATTTTAGTCATTTTAATTTGTAATAATATTTCACAATATTACTGTATTTTTGATTAAATAAATTCAGCCTTGGTGTGCATAAGAGACTTCTTTTAAAAAAAATTACAAAACTTACCAAGCCCAAACTTGTGAGGTGCAATGCAAAAACTACTTATCACCTTCTGTGTTGAATTATCTATACATGTAAACATTATTTTGCTAAACAGTGCCTTGTTTATCTCATTCCAGATTACCACACTGATCAATCACAAAGACAAGCTCAAGAAGACAGAGAAGACCTTACGGGCCATCCAGAGAGTAGGGCAGGCAGTCAGTGTTGCAGTTGGCCGCTTCGTGGCGGTGGGTGAAGCCATTGCAGCAGAGAATGAAGACTTGAAGGATGAGATGGGACTGGCTTGCTTTGAGGCCCGGAGAGCAGGTTAGTCTGACACTATTCAACTGGAAGAGCAATGACACATAAGCAGTTTTCCCGGGTAGAGTTACCAGGCAACAAGTAACAGGAAATGGACAGCTGGGTTAAACATAGCGGAACTTGTCAACAAGCTCAGAATAGCCTGTCAGGGTTGTACACCATGCAAAATTGATCTTAAATTATTTTCAAATTTAATTTAATTGATGTAGCATACAGGAATTGCAATTTAAGTTGAATTTAAGGAAGTATAATTAGAGACGTTCATATAACTGCCATAAGTGTATTTTCTAATAATACTTTTATTTTTTCTTTACAACCATAAACATATCATACATACAACATAAGAGGTACTCCAAGAAACATTAGATCATATTAATAATCAATCATTGAAATACCACCTACACAAATGAGTATTTCATTTATATACACTACCGTTAAAAGGTTTTTACAATTTTCAGTAGCCATTACTTAAATCTTGTCACATGATCCTTCAGAAATGTTGAAAACAGTTGCAGACTAGTTTAATATTTTTGTGGAAACTGTGATAGTTTTTTTTTCCAGGATTCTTTGAAATGGAAATGTTTCGTAACATTATAAATGTCTTTACTGACACTTTTGATCAGTTTAATGCATCCTTGCTGAATGAAGGTATTAAAAGGATAGTTCACCCCAAAATTAAAAATTGATGTTTATCTGCTTACCCCCAGGGCATCCAAGATGTAGGTGACTTTGTTTCTTCAGTAGAACACAAACAAAGATTTTTAACACAAACAGTTGCAGTCTGTCAGTCTTATAATGAAGGTGAATTGGAATCACGGCTTTGAGAGTAAAAAAAAAACATACACAAACAAAACCAAATTAAACCTTGCGGCTCGTGACGATACATTGATGTGTAAAGACACAAAAAGATCGGTCTGTGCAAGAAACTGAACAGTATTTATATAGTTTTTTACCTCTGATGCACTGCAATGTCTGAACTGTCCTGAGCGTGTCCTCGACAGCCGGCGCGTGACGCATCTTCTTCTTCTTCTTGATTTACGGTGGATCACAGACTTATAAGTGCATTACCTCCACCTATCTCTCAAATGGACCATTGACTCTCCTAATTGATATTGTAGATAGAGTGTCAATGGTCCATTTGAGAG